TCACTGTCAAATAAATAAAATCTTTAAAAAAAAAAAAAAAAGAACAGATAGGGACAAGACTTTTCACTGAATACCTTTCTTAAAACTTTTTGCCTGTGTGAACATATTACCTATTTTAAACATTCATAAACGTAAGTGGGCCATTTACAATCAGCATGAGACAAAGATATAAAACTATAAATTCATGATAGAATAACTGGACTGATACTGCTCATGATTATATCTCTGGCCTTAAAGAATTAAGCATCAGAATTTGAGAATGGAGAGCCTTAAATTACAATGAACAGGTGCACGTAAACTGATATGAGTTGATACTTGATTTCATATTTATTTCATAACTTCCTCAGATTATAAAAATACTACATGCTGACTGTCAAAAAAACCTGGAAAGTACCAAAAAGTACAAAGAAAACGAAAATCACCTGTAATTACATCACCAAGAGATTAAAAAAACAACAACAAACATTGGTGTATACACTTCTGGTCTTTTCTAAGCAATATACTACACATATGTGTTATTTAAAGCCAACAGTAACTGTAAATTTCCAAAACTGTTTTTTCTCACTGAAGAGAAATAACGAACAGTGGATGATTTCAATACTGTGGGCATGAGATCAGACATTTAACAGGCATTCAACCTTCATCTCCCATGCTGTGGAAGAGAGAGACACTCCCCCATTTTATAAAGAAGGAAACTGAAGATCTCAGAACTTGCGTCTTAGTATGCCCAAAGGCTCACAGTTAAGAAGTGGCAACCCTAATTAAAACCATGTCTGTCTATGCTAAATCCCTTGGTTTTTTCATATACCAGGATGCTGCTCCTACCAACATTTAAAAAAGAAAAAAGTGATGTGCAAAACCTAGGTGATGCTATCACGTATGTTGCATCAAGTGGCAGAAATGCAAAAATACACAATTTGCTTTAAGTAAAAATCAAAAAAAACACTTCTGACCTTTCATTTCAGTAGTTGGAAAGTACTAATACCATTTCCTCATCTGGTAGAGCTTCCTGTCACCACCATTGTCGCAGTTGAAAGGAAGATCAATACTAAAGAACTGAATTTAAAGGATGGTGCTGAGTGGAAAATCAATTAAATACAATTTCTTTAGGCATTTATGAAACTGCACATTTCTTGGACTTTTAGTTTCGTTTTTGAATTGACGGATCTTTTCTGGAAAAAATAGGATAACCATTTATTATTAACAGCTAACATTTATTAAGCACTTGCTATGTGCCAGGCACTATGACTGACTTAATCCCACAACAACCTTCGACAGACGATTTTCTAGTTAGTAAAGGAGAACACTGGCACAGTGATGTCGGAGAACTTGCTCAAGATCACGCTGCTGTCAGCGCTGGAGGTCAGGGACGGGCCCACACTGCCTTGCTCCCGAGCACATCCCTGCACCACCTCAGGGGACTGCCTCTTACTCTCCCCTGAGAATTCGTACAGAAACAGATTTAAAGTTGAGGGAACAATCCCAGTGCTATGAAGATAATGTCACGGGAGGAGCCATTATCCATGCACGATCCCTTGAAACGGAGTATTGGCTCAGTGGTGTGATTCAGGCATTTATGCTCGGCTTCGGGTAAAACTGCATCGGTGAAAATAACGGCAGATGTGCCTATATTAGACTTTTGAATAGTTATTATTACATAAGAGTTATAGCACCCCCTAATGTATCGATCAGTTTTGAAAGCATCTTCCCTGCAGTACAGTCTTTGGGGCAAGTGATTATCAGCAGTAACCTCAGCTGCCCAAGTAAAAGCCTGTCTGCTCTTTTCTCTTAACCTACAGATAACATTTTCGAATACACTAACTTGCAGACTTCCCCAACGGCCAAAATGGTCTCTTGAGCAAGACCATGCTTAGTGGTGGCAACTGTCTCTAACCTTAAGTCCTGCCCTCTCCTGCTCCCCACACCCCACACACACCTCCACACCCTGCCGCACATACACATCAACAGAAATCCTCCTCCACTTTTTCAAATGCCCAGTAGGGGGGTGACATCGAGAACTGCCCGGCTAACGTGGGATCAGTATCAACTGAGCATCGACTCGCCAGAGGAGCTGCTTATTCTTTATGAGCCACTGCGCTCATCAGACTGGGATTGCCGCTGTTAATGGACAGTATTGTTTCTGCTGACTGTCCCCCGACCATTTTAAGGGAGAAGGAGCTTCTGTCTTGAAAACGAACTCACCAGCTAGTTCTGGGAAACCTGCGCGTACCAGCTCTTCATACAGCTGCTTGACCGGAGTGGCCTGGGTCATCAGGGTCCCATGCAGCCAGATGAGCAGAGCCCTGTGGCCGTGTTCACGGAAACTTCCCTTTCCTGTGCCAAGTACATACAGTCAGAGGCGAAACCCTACATGCTGATGTCTCTTTTTGTTGTGATCTTAGTTCTCACTGAATTTTCTGTATGACTGTGGTTGCAACTCATTCCTCTTCTGATGGCTGTTAGATAAAAAGCCCAGTGGATGAAAGCCCTTCCAGTTCCACTCACTGGAACTTCTTTAGGGTGACCAGAGTTTGGATTCTCTCCAGCACTTACCTTGCACCTACTGTGCTTGACACAGACCAAAGGAGCAGATAAGACATGAAGCAGCTAAGTCCCTGCCCAACGGTAAGGAACAATCTGAGATGCAGAGCTCTCCTTCAGCGTTCAGTTGGCACTGCTATGCACCACCATTTCTCACACTCAAAGTGCATATCTCAACGGGGGATCCTGTTACAATGGAGAGTCTCATGCAGTCTGCCTCGGGCTAGGATCTGCACTTCTAAGGAGCACCCAGATGCTGGCGTTGCTGTCTGTTAACCACACTATGAGCAGCAAACGTGTACCATCATGCTACTCCAGCTTCTGATGGAAGTATGCATCCCCTGGGCCAGGATTATTCACTGGATACCTAACCCCTGAGAGATGTTGGGGGGAAGCACTGAGATGTGTCTCTCGCAACAGGAGTTCACAGTCACAAACACAGAACAGGCTCCTAGCTCTAGCCAGTGTGTGTGGGAACAGGCAGATGCCACAAAAGGAGGGTCTGAGCTCTGAGGAGGAAGCTTGCTGGACAGACTGTTAAAAGAAGCAGGTGTTTCAGGGGGAGGGAACTGTACCCATAAAGAATGTACTCCTAGGTGAATCCTGTTCCTTTCCTGATCTTGCCCTTGCCAAACTAATTCTTCTTCAGTACCACCATCATCGTGTCCCTCCTTTGCTTAAAAGCCCACAAACTCCTTAGTGCTAGTACCATTACGCTGGATTGTATTTGGATTGTGAATGTTATGTTATCATGCAACCTAGATTATAAATTCCACCAAATGTGCACCTTGGCTTATAGAGCAGTTCATCCCTCGCCTGGTAGAGCTAAACGCATTCTAGGCACTCCACGTTGTTTGACTAAAACACTTTAAGTCCCCTTTATCCTGCTGGCAGGTACTCTGAAGATACAGTATATTTTCGGGCGCCTGGGTGGCTCAGTTGGTTAAGCGACTGCCTTCGGCTCAGGTCATGATCCTGGAGTCCGGGGATCGAGTCCCGCATCGGGCTCCCTGCTCAGCAGGGAGTCTGCTTCTCCCTCTCCCGCTCCCCCCTCTTGTGCTCTCTCTCTCTCACTCTCTCTCTCAAATAAATAAATAAAATCTTAAAAAAAAAAAAGATACAGTATATTTTCAAATCATTTCTTTAGGTCAAGAGGGATTTCCAGAAGGCAACTAAATTTTCATAAAAACTTCACAGAATGTCATATGCCTAATTAGTGACAAAGGAGAATACTTAACAGTAAAAAAGAAATCTTTTCAGAAACTATAGTCAATATTCAACATTTTCAATGCATTATCTTCCATAATGTAGCTGTAGAATTAGCAATAGAAAGTGCCATGATTTACTTTTATGTGGTGTAAATAGCACGTATTCATGGTCTGTGGTTTTGCCATCTACAGTCCCAGCAATCAATAACGCAAATCAACTGCTGAGCATGGGACTTGGTCACATCTCATAATATCCATGTAAGGAAAGTGCTCTGAATAGAATGTTTTCCCAAGAAAAGTGTCTGCTTCCTTGTCTAATTAGCTGATTAATGCCAAACAAACTTTATTTCCTAAGTTTTGGTCAAATCATAAAAAAGCAAAGCTAATGACTCCAGCTGACCTGACCTCACTAATTCTGACAGCTGGAGTCTGGCTGAATTGATTCCATGGCTTGGGATCTTCTACTCGGGAGAGCCCTGAGTCTGTCTCCCACATCTCTCATGGGACAGCTGGTCTCACCCAAGGCTGCATCCTACAAGAACTCTATACCCAGATGTGGCTGAAGGGATTCCTCCTGGAGTAGAAGCCCTAAACAGTGAGCCTTTTGTTAGAGAATGAACCTTTTCACCCCAAGACAATCTCAAGGAACACTAGAGGAGGTTGGTTTCCCAGGGACAAGCCAACTGTTAAGTCCTTGCTTCCTTAGTGCCTATTCATTTGGGAACCTTCATTTCCTTAAAGGCTAAATGCCAACTTTTCAATATGGCTTAATAAAAAGTAATTATCCTTTGCAAACTTCAGTTAATTGCAGAGTCCATGAATGTTCATGGTTTGCAAAGTTCTCAGTCATCTTTGTGGTCTTAAGCTAACTGTCCCAGTTCCTGGGCCCTTGTAGTCTGCTGCTTGTTGTGAGCACCAACCACTTACTTGGAAGATCTGCCACCAGGAAGAACAACTGCTCCTTCCTGTCCACATCATCTAGGCCATGCTTACCTGACCACTGCTCCTCAATGGCTCTGATCTGGTCACCTGTAAAGTTCCATGAACGGGCCAGCTTCTGCCACTCATTGGCCTTTAGCTGATGGTAAGCCAGGTTCCAGAGGAGACTGCAAATATGTCTGGTCTCCAAACTGTGATCTTGCTTGAATGTCAAAGTAAAGCCGGTTGATGGGTCCCTGATGCTCTCACCATGCTCCTAAATTAAAGGTAACTACATCAGACGATTTCAGACATTTTCTGCTTATTGCCTTATTTCAAGGTATGTATACAATTTTTCAGATATAACAGGTAAGATGGTAACCAAGACTTATGTTTTCAGTAGTATCTGTAACTGGATCACTTTTTGTCATTCAAGATGGAGACAAATGTCTGAAATAAAAAACTTGAGTACTATCTGTCTGACACAGGAAATGTGAGGGGTTTTGCCATGTTACATGCTTCTATCCCAGCTTGCTGATATTTATTTACTCGCCCAAAAGAAAACAGAGGGGGTGCCTTAGCTAAGGAAATGTCACAACAATAAATTCATCTTTGAAGGCCTTACTTTCAACTAATATCCCCTGTTCTTGTGCGTGTTTGATTTTCTCATATCAAAGATTCAGAGAGGTCCAGATTGGATAGACTCTTAGAAAGACCCCAAAGCTGGTGCCTCCACTCATCCTGCTCTCTGGTGTGAGGAGAGCAAAGTAGAAGCCTAACTCTGGGGGCCAAAAGAATGGAGAGGACAGGGGTCGATATAATTTTGTTTTAAGTCACTGCAGCCAGGCTTAGTCCAAATGCCCTTTGCCTGGACTGATACCTTGTTTTCTCAGTTTTCAAAGGTTCCTTTTGTCCCTTCTGCAGAATCCAGCCAAAGAAACTGGAGAAAAATCTCAAAGTGAAAGCAGGTGTCATAGTTTCCTAGAGCTGCACCTGTTGTACATGCTGTCAGGCCTCCAGATCATCCTCCTTCAGGAGGTTGCAGATCAGTTAAGGACACACAGGACACACAGCCCAAGAGGATTGGGACTTACTATCTATTCTCCTTTTTTATATACGGTAACTCCTATTTTTGTCTTTCACTTAATTAAAAGTGAATCTTAATGAAAGATAATCTGAACAGCAAGACAGGAGCCCATGCTGGGGCAGGAAGTGGACTAAAATGATATGGGTACCTGGTTGTCAAAACCTGAGAAGAACGTGGTGGGGCTTGCGCCTCCGCCCCCATCACTGAGCAGCCTTTGTCTTTCATAGCATCTGCAGTCTCCTCGGAAGGTCTACAACATCCTGGGAAGCAGCCCAAGGAGACGGGCCAGTATTTTCTCTGGTATCTGGACCTTGTGAAAAGAAGTTGGACTAGGAATGGGAGATATAAATTACCCGTAATTGTTTCAGAGGTTGTAAAATGCAGGCAGGGTCTTCCCTGTCCCAACCTTAGCTTTACTCCCGCAGTGCCTAACTCCCAGGGAGTCCTGAAAGAGGAAAGGCTGAGGGTGAGGGATCCCACAAACTTGGGAGCCATGGCCACTTTACTTTTTCATTTTCTCTTCATTCCCTCTCCTGAAACAATGAGGATTCCAACAAGAACAAAACCTGAAACACCACAAGATGGAAGAACTGCAAAATGCATTAACCTTTGCACCACAGCATTTTTATTTCTTTGAGAAACACACATGCTCTACATTCCAGGATTGGGCTGGGTGGTCCTTCAGGCTTCCAGAGGAAAGGGTCATGGATTTGGAAAGCCCAGGTCTTTTTCAACAGTTCATGGAAGCATTAATAGTTTGTCTGCCAAAGCACTTATCATATGCCAAAACTGGTGGAAATTAAAATAGCATAAGCCAGATTTTAGGAAGCTTCCCATTTGCCTCTTAACCACTGGATTTAATGATAGATATAAGAGAGGAAATTTCAATCCTCTCTTTAATGTTCTTTATTAGGAATCATTTTATATTAGGCCAGGATATAAACTTGTTAAATAAAGAGAATTTGAAATAATAATAAATGCATTTGGTTAAAAAAAAAAGATATAATTGTTTAATGAACAAAGTGAACTTAAAGTAAGTAATAAATAGGGGCGCCTGCGTGGCACAGTCGGTTAAGCGGCCAACTCTTGGTTTCAACTCAGGTGGTGATCTCAGGGTCCTGGGATTGAGTTGCCCTCAGCTCAGAGTCGGCTTGGGTTTCTCTCTTCCTGTCCCTCTGCCCCTCCCCTCCACATGCTCTCTCTTTAAAATAAATGAATAAATCTTTGAAATAAAATAATATATTTGGTTAAAAACATTTAAGAATATATATTAAAAAACAAGCCTTCCTCCCACTCCAGATGTCGGTCCCCATGGTCACCAAGGTTAACAACTCTCACATTTCTGAGGGTCTCCTTCATACATTTATATATTGTATAGCATTCCCAAAGTTTATCTAACTCTCACATCTCAAAGATTTGTTAGGAAAAAGGGCTTAGTCATTTGGCGGAAAAGTAATTTATTCTCCTCTAGGAAAAAGAATCTAAAAATGCTAGCAGACATTAAAAATAGAACCAATGAATATTTCTATTTCCAAAGAAAACGTGAAAATAGTCACTTAAAAAGCAAGAGAAAAGGTGGAAGTTGGGAAGGTTACCTTCAATCAAATACGGTGATGATCTAAGAAAATGAGAATGAAGCTAAGGCCAAGAGGAAGAGAATGAAAGGGGCAGGAGGAACAAAAATCAACTAGGAGGAGGAGAGAGAACTTTAATGGTCATAAAAATGTTGTTTTGTTTTACAGACAAGAAACGTTTGAGGAGGATGGTGTGGACTTCAAATGACATATATGTCATATCATCCAGATATATATATCAGGACTGCAGAGCTAATTAAATAGGATTGTGAGCAAGAAGGAGGCAGATCAATGCATTTTGCCTTAAGGATTTAAGGGAAATTCCTCAGGATTGGCAAATGAGACCACAAACCAGGCCTGAGGCTCCTCAGGGGTAAACACCTGAGGGTTAGGACCTGAATTCTGGCACCAACCTACTGGTCTAGGGGGGCCATTCAGCCTAGGATGGCAACAACCCAAAGTAGAAACTGAGGGTGGTGCCCGATAATGCAAATCCTGCCTGAGGGCTTAGATTTCGATGTTGGAGGGAAGGGCATTCTGTTGTGAAGCTCTATGTGTGGCAGCTATCAGAGGAAGTAATAATGAAAGAAGGTGGAGAGAATGTCTTGGAGGCAAGTTTTCTGTGTTCTCAAGATGAATAAGGTTTTTGTGACTATCACAGGATACTTGAGTAGCAGCCAGCACCACAGTGTGTTGAAAACAGCAGAGCCATGAACATAAACTTCTTTATCACTCATTAGAATGATGAGAACTTTGGTTCGTCCTGAGGGTTCTCGAGGGGAGGAGGGTGGGGGGATGGGTTAGCCTGGTGACGGGTATTGAGGAGGGCACGTTCTGCATGGAGCACTGGGGGTTATACGCAAACAATGAATCATGGAACACTTCATCTAAAATTAATGATGTAATGTATGGGGATTAACAGAACATTTAAAAAAAAGAATGATGAGAACTTTGGGTTTGAGAACTTCCAGAAGGTACCAGAGCCAGAGACTCCATGACAGAGGGCACAACATGGGAGGCAGCTATGCGGGGCAAGTCAGTTAGAGCTGACACGGCCCAGCCTGCTTAGCCCAATGAGCTCTACACACCTCAGTTCTGACTACTGATGCTGGCAAAGGAGAGGGAGGGAGGAAGCAGCAGCTGTTCATTCCATGAATGGAGCAGCACAGGCCAAAGGGACAGTTATAATTTGACCAAGACCCTGCCCATTAGAGCAGAAAAAAAAACTACACAAACCCCACACTGCCCATAAGAAGATGGTGGTTGCAGAAGAGCCCACTGCTGAGCTGGAATCATACTTCCTTACCTCTTTCCAGGCATAGTATCTCTCTGCTTTAATGATCATGTCCACAGCAAGGCTGTGGTTGCTCCTGAAGGCCACAGCCAGGGCAGTCTTCCCTTGCTAAAAGGTAAAAATGGAAGTGTCAGGCAGTATGGCCTAGTGTTTAGGAGCTCCAGTTTGGAACAGGGGGACCTGCATTCAAATCCTGATCCTACTGCTTCCTTGCACTTGGGAACTTGGGCCAGTCCTTAGCTCCTCTAGGTCTCAAAGACTACCCCATGGTGTAGTGGTGAGGTGTAAATGTGATAATTCGTATCAAGCCCTTAGGACTGTGCATGGCACATGGTAATTATTCAAGACATGCTAGGTATTGGTAGTGTCAGGCACTGTGTCAACAGGGCAGGGGAAAAGATTTGGGCTTAGGGACTGACCATCAACAGATGATATTTTACACATGCTCTATCAATGAGAATCCAGACATTTCTCCAAGACCCCTGGGCGGGGGGTCTCCCTGGCTCACTGCACTGGGGAGTTCTCGGCAAATAAATAATCTGATCACACATTTTTCTACTCAGGGCTGACTCTACCTGTAGCTGAGACTTTAGTCAGTGTGCCATGCTTCCTTCCCCCAATAGCCTTTTCCTTCTTCTATGGGAAAAGACCTCCCGATTTTAGCTAGGCACTTGGCCACTCCAAACATTTCCTAGCCTCCCTTGCACTTGGATATGTGACCTAAGTTTTGGTATATAAATGGAAGTGATTTATTTTTGGGAAGTAATTGTAAAGACAGGAAGGATGTTATTCTCCTTCCTTTCTTCCTCCTCCTGAGTGGAATGCTAGCGTGATGGCAGGAGCTTCAACAGCCATCTTAGACCAAGAAGTTGAAGCCATGTGTTGTGGAGAGTAGATAATAAGACCGAAAATGCTGGTTCTCATTAAGAATAGTAATATCCATGACAAAACTTCTAATTCATAGTACAGAATTCAGCTCACTGGACTCCTATCTAGAATTTTTTTCTATTATACTGCCTCTAACCAAGGGTGAGGAATAGGAAACTTAACCAAATGGAATGAGCAATAAAGGATATTCTGGACATAATTTTGGGCAGGAGTGGCCTGGGATCCCATCTGGTATCTTATACAAATTACAAAAGGCACACCTTTGTCAAGATCGATATAGCTGAAAACTACAGCACACAGCTTTACAAGTAATGTCCCCTAGATTTTAGGCAGTGTACAATCTGCACATCTATACATTTCTTTTCCTGAGCAAAAGATGGTGTTTTTCATCTATTTTTTAAATGGCACATTAAAAATTTGCCCAGGGATCCTGAAGGTAATCAAAATGAATGTCAGAAATAATCCCACAAAAAGTTCTTAGCAACACATGTCTCTATGCTTAGGGATCTAGCAGTTTATCCCAGTAATTCTCTCACATGGCTGAGCAAGTACAACTCCCACCAACCCAAATGATCTGGCTGTTAGTGGCGGTGCTAAGACCCAGGTGGGCCAGAAGGGTAGGGCTGACAGTTAACCAGTTTCTAGTCAAAGGAGACAGTAATGAATTAGGAAGAACTGTGCTCTGCAGGCAGTTAGCAAGTCCTTCATTGCATGCGGCCTGAATTCTGGCTTAAAAAGCCATCTGAGTCACCGTGATTAGCAGCATTCAGCTTCAGCCAGCGTTCTCGAGTTCCCAGGAAAACCTTCCCAGGGAGTGGAAACCCAAGTAATCCTGCCGCTGAAGTGGGGGAAGCCCTCCAGGAGCTTGGTGACACCTCCGACCGAGAGAACAGGTTTCTGGGAAAGTCATATTCACACCAAACCCTGGCTCCTTTTTCCCAACCCACTCTGATGCACTCTTACAGCCATTTATCCTTGGTAAAAATGGTGGGAGTGAGTAGAAAAGGTAGTTTTTATTACTTAACTAATTAGGTGTTGGGGGCCAATCATGTGCCAGGCCCAGAGAAGAAAGGGAGGAGGAGAAGGGAAAAATGGGAAAATCAAATTGCGAGTCAAGTTACAGCACTGAAGGCATTTGCCAGGACATCCAGTCCACTAGCACTGGGGGCCCAGCATGAATTCCCTTCCCAGTGCTACGGGCTCTTCACCTACAAGACTGCCCCAGAGGGGTTAAGTATTAATGAGAAAGTGGAATCAAGTAGGAAGAGAAAGCACGGGAAAATATGAATGTGAACTGTCACTACTAACGCCAAATCTTAAGGGGCAGTAACAAGCCACAATGGCGGAAGCGGTGTAATTCCACCCACATGACAGAGTTATAGGTGGTTGCATTTTCCTTCCTTATGCTTCTCTGTGTTTTCCAGATTGTCCACAGTGGGCTTGTACTACTTTTTATGATAACTTTAAAAAACTGACCTCTAGAGAAAAGTAAAATAACACATCAATCCTTCAAGTCCCACAAATGTAAAATGTGAGATTCTGAAAGAGTACGGAGGGTGAACCTCGCTTGCACTAGGAATTAAGGATGTGCTGAGCTGATGAAGAGTGTGGGTGAAGACAAGAAAGGGAAAAACTGCAAGTTGCAGAAGTAGTCAGCCCTGCTCAGAGCTGTGGGAAAGCGCTGGACAACCAACAAGCAGCCTGGCTTTGAAGCCTGGCTCTGCGTCTTACTGTGCATGTGACCCTTGATATCATTGAAATCTCTTGGAAACTGGGATAATTTTGCCCACCTCACAGAACAGATGTGAGGATTGAAATAAGGTGCACATGGGTGAGCACCTGACAGGACTGCCACACCTTGGTCTCCTGTGTTTACGCTTTTCAGTAAGCTGGAACCTAGTGGACAGCGGCCCCGCTACCCTCCTGTGATGGAGCCCACCTTACTGCGTCACTTGAAAAACAAAGTTGTCTTTCTTTAAAAACAAGTCTACACAATGCCCAAAAGGTGGAAGCAACCCAACGTCTGTCCACAGATGCAAGGATAAACAAAATGTGGTCTATACACGGTGGAATACCATTTGTCCTTAAAAAGGAAGGATATTCTGACACACGCTACAACACCGATAAACCTTGAGGACATTATGCTACATGAAATAAGCCAGTCACAAAATGACAAACACAGTACGATTCTATTTATGAGGTACCCAGAATAGTCAAATTCGTGGAAACAGAAAATAGAGTGGTGGTTGCCAGGGACTGGGAAAGGAGGAGGAAATGGGTAGTTGCTGTTCAGAGTTTCAGTTTGCCAAGATGAAAAAGTTCTGGAGATGGGTTGCATAACAGTGTTAACAGACTTAACACTACTGAACTGTACACTTAAAAATGGTAAAGATGAGGGACGCCTGGGTGGCTCAGTCGGTTAGGCATCTGCCTTCGGCTCAGGTCATGGTCCCGGGGTCCTGGGATCGAGCCCCGCATCGGGCTCCCTGCTCTGCGGGAGGCCTGCTTCTCCCTCTGCCTGTCTCTCTCCCTGCTTGTGCTCTGTCTCTCTCTGACAAATAAATAAATAAAATCTTTTTTAAAAAATGGTTAAGATGATAAATTTTATGTTATATGTATTTTACAATTAAAGAATTTTTAAGTAAGAGCAAGTTTAGACGTGTATGTTTGTTCATTGCAGCTCTGCTTATAACAGCAAAAGCTAAGGAACAATTCAAATGCCCATCGGCTGAGAACTAAACAAATTATGATATGTCCATGCCACAGTCTCTTGTGCAGCTATATAAAGAATGAAGAAACTCTCCTTGTACTAATATGGAACAGTTTCCACTTTATATACTTAAAGGAGAAAAGCTAAATGCAGGACAATATGGAGAAGTACATCACCACAATGTAAAAAGGATGGAGGAATATGGTAAGAGTATAATATATTTATGTTTGCTTGTTTATGCATAAAGAAACGGGAAAGCACTAAGAAACTGATGACAATAGATCCGTGTGGCAAGAGTAGTGTGCGACCGGACAACTAGGGTCAGGGGTGGGTGGGACATTTTTACTGTAAAACCTTTACTGATTATGTTTTTAAATTTTTGGACCACATGAACCTATCATCTTTCCCAAATTAGTAAATAATTTTAATTTTTAAGAAATACATATTTTAGGGGCGCCTGGGTGGCTCAGTTGGTTAAGCGACTGCCTTCGGCTCAGGTCATGATCCTGGAGTCCGGGATCGAGTCCCACATTGGGCCCCCTACTCAGGGGCGGGAGTCTGCTTCTCCCTCTGACCCTCCTCCCTCTCATGCTCTCTGTCTCTCATTCTCTCTCTCTCAAATAAATAAATAAAATCTTAAAAAAAAAAAAAAGAAATACATATTTTATTATTCAGAGTAAAATATCTTACCTACATACCTCAATCAAAATCAGGATGTTTTACTGATTGCCAGGACAAAAGGTTTCTCCAGTGTGTGTCCATCTCACAAGGGGTATGCTAAGGCTTACAGCCAACAGAAGTTCTTCACAACCATCTCTGCTGAACACAGTGAAGGCCATGAACTTACCTTATCAACAATCTTCAAGTCACAGCCTGCCTTCAGCAAGGTTTCCACCAGTTCCACATTGCCAAGATCAGCAGCAACATGCAAAGGAGTCTGCTGCCTCTGCCACGAGAAATTTCAAAAATGTAATCTAAACACATTAAGGAGGGGGGAAAAAACTTACATAGTGAAAAGACACAGGGAATGCAGAGGTGTCCTATATGGGCATAAGGGAAAATAGATTAAGATCACATTTTTATTTTATTTTATTTTTTTTTAATATTGTATTTATTCATTTGAGAGAGAGAGAGACAAGGAGAGAGAGAGAGCACGAGCAGGGGGCAGGTGCAGAGGGAGAAGCAGGCTCCCCACTGAGCAGGGAGCCCAACCCAGGCCTCGATCCCAGGACCCTGAGATCATAACCTGAGCCGAAGGCAGATGCTTAACGACTGAGCCACCCAGGCGCCCCAAGATCATATTGTTACATAGGTACAGGGGACATTCACTGCAGTGTTATTTTTAACAGTGAAAAACTGAAAGGAAGTTGCATGTTTCACTAGGAGACTCATTTGATAAATTATGGTATATCCAAATGCTGGATTAGTAAGCAACAATTAAATATGATTTTTAAAAGATGATTTCAATATGAGATACTAGAATAGTAAAGTTCATAGAGACAGAAAGTAGAGTGGTGGTTACCAGGAACTGTGGGGACAGGAGAATGGGGAGTTAGTGTTTAACGAGTACAGAGTTTCAGTTTGGGAAGATGGAAAAGTTCTGGAGATGGATGGTGGCCATAGTTGCTCAACAATGTGAATGTACTTAATGCCAATGAATTGTACATTTAAAAATGGTGAAATTTCTTTCTGGGGTAATCATTTTCTTACCAAGAGGGTAACAGTGTTTTAAAGAAGTATACAAAATCACAAGAAAGTCACCCATTTTAACCTTTCACTGAAAGGATATGCTAATGTGCAGATATTTCTAAAATATTAGTACTGAAAGGAATGCTATTTATGGTCTAGGCCAACCCTTGAACCAGAGAGAGGAAGCAACTTCCCCAGAGTCACACAGGTGGGCAATAGCATCTAGCTCAGTACTCTTCCAACCAGAGCACAGGGCCAACCTGCTTGGGACATTAGCATAATTAATATCAGAAAGCATTTATTAAAGACTCACTTTTGGGTGGCAATGTGCCCCTCTGGGGGCTCATCGAAAACATCACACTTAAATGACAAACTATCAAAGGTCTATACCAACATGGAACAGAGATACAAGTGTCATACATCAAATACCAATAAAATTTCATTGCGACGATACTGCTCTAAGTCTAAAAGGCAGGAAATGAACCAAAATGTTAACAAGAGTTGTCTTTCTTTGGGGGGGAATTACAAACAAATGTAAGTTTTTACCTTATTTATGTTTTCTTATTGTTATACATTGAGTGTATTCCCAATCTAACAGAAAATTGAAATGATAAAGTCTAATTCTATAACGGGGGGGCGGGGTGCCCACTAATAAACCCTCCTTCTCTGGAGTGAATCTAGCCAGTTCTGGTGAAACCAAAATCCTATGTGAGTTCTGTGTATGGAACAAAGATTCTGCTCATTTGGAAATATTTGGGGCATTAACAGACTTGGACACATAAGTATATATAATAACAAAAAGGTCCTCCCCCGCCGCCCCCAAACGTTTGGGATAGTGGAACACAGGGAGGAAGGTCCGTGGGGGAAGGAAGGGACGGAAGTGTAGGTAAGTGTCCATTCTGCTCCCACACAAAGGAATTCCTAGGTTGGAGTTGGAGGAGACTGGAGAGACCTGAGGCAGTGCTCTGGGTTCCCCAGATTCAGAAGCTGAGGGCCACCCAGCGGGTTAGGACAGGGTTAGGACAGGCATGCACACTGGATCTGGCCGCTCCCTCCCCTCAGGGCGCAGGCTGAGGCTTCTCTAGGTAGAGGCAGTCAGAAAGGCAAGAGGTGTCCAGGTTTCTCATCTGTCCCCAGGGTTCCAGAAGGGCTCCTCCCCCCAAGAGTTTCTCTTCCTACTCCTGACAGCTCTTGGGAGAGGCAGCTCAGCCCCAGAGGTGGCCCTGATTCAGACAGTGCCCACTCCCATCCTCTTAATCTTCCACCTCAGCATTTGCATTTCCAGCCAGTGATGGATTCCTTTTACGGGGCATTTGATTCTGCTCCAGTGGATTGGTGATTTTTTTTTTTTTTTTAATTCAAAGAGGTCTCTTTTGCCTTTGGGTAAAAGGAAGACACATTTATAGTCTCTAATATAGAAACAAAGCTTCCTCCTTGTGACAAAGGGCTACCACCAGCCAATTATATTTCATACTGACAGAGTGGCTTTTGATTTAAAGAGCCGTTGGCAATTTACCTCTGAGCTACTGTTTATCTATCAGAGGTGCTGGGACTGTTAAGTACAAACAGGTTTAAGAATGCACGAGCTGGACCCCAGTTGTGTGTTTGAAAAAGTATGTGTGTGCAAGTGGGAGTGGGGGTCACAGAAGAAAAGGGATAAAGAAAATATGTATATTCTACCTGGAAATTTTTAGGGTACCTTGAACTTGCTCAAAACTACCCCTAACCACACAATGCATTGAATCATAAGAAAACAGACTCTCGGGTTCTGATATACCTGGCTTACCTGATTTAAGATGTCAATGTTGTGCTGTGCACCTAATAAGCTGTTCACAACTGAGATATGGTTGTTGGTAACAGCTAAATGAAGAGGGGAGTCCTTTGGCTGCAGAAAGAAAGAGAAAGAAAATTTCAAATCCAAAAGATTCTGGCTTCATCATTCAGACCAAAAAGCAATTCATTTTGATAGAGATATCCTGATAATCTCCTAGTACTGGAGCTGCCCAGCACAGCATCAGGCCAATAGCAAGTGTTCAGCATCATTTCCATCCCAAGGTTGTGCTCTCCCCCTTCATTTGTTCTAGAACTATAGGCTGAACACCCACTATGGGCCAGGCTCTTTTCAGGAGGTTAAGGATTCAGTGGTTAACATGGCCCATTCTCAGGAATCTTCCAATATAGTGGGGTAAGAAAATATTAATTTTTTTTTAAAAAATCACAAAATATACAAATTGTGAAAAGTGTTTTGGAGGAAAAGGAGAGTGGCAGGAGAGCATAAGTGGGATGGGCAGACAGCTAACCTTTCTGAAGATGAAAAAAAGCCTTCCTGAAGAATTGACACTTTCACTTAGATAAGAATGGTAAGAAATATGAAATAGGCTTAACTGCACGACTTCTCAGTGCCTTCCAAGACCTAAATTATGGTGGGAATAGCTACAAGGTGGAAAAGGCAAGCACGTTCAGCATTTCCTGAACTGATGTGATTTAGAGCTCTTTCTCCCCAGAGCACTCTGTGGGACTAATGCCCCACTCACCCAGGGACACCATTCTCATGTGTAGCCCTCCCATGTAGATAGAATATACAGCCGCAGGATGTTCACCAAGCCCCTCCAGCCTGCTCCCCTTTCCTCCTCATTTGCAGTTAAACTGCCTGTCCTGCAGCCTCACCCTCACTCACCTGGAGTGTCCCAGCCCCTCTCAGCCATCCCCACAGGCAGGCTTCTTTCCCAGCCCCACCGGGCTGTCATGACCACCTCTAGGACCACACACCTAGCTCCTGCAGCTTCACCACCACCCAGCGGCCACTGGCACATGGAGGCGCTAGAGAAACGTCTCCAGGGGTACTGAAGTCAGCCGAAAAGAAAAAAAGGTGGGGAGAAAGAGGTTAGGTGTGAGAGAGAGTGAGCTGCGGGGCAGTCAGGGTGGAGGGAAGGCAGGGGGCGGCAGGGGGAGGGGGTGCACGTGTGAAAGAGCAGGGCGCTCAGAAGATCCAGGGAGGCCATGCACAGCAGGCGAGCTGAGAGCCAAGGCAGGTGTGTGCAAGGGCAGGTGATGAGGACAGAGCACAGGGTTGGTCGGGGAAAGAGATACCAATAATAAGCACCAGGTAGGCACATTGAACATATTTTTATAATTCTACTTAATGCATACTCACTTCCCCAACAGTTTATACTCTGTTTTAAACTCTGGGCTAATAGTTTTCATTCACAATAACCCTAGCAGTTAGATCTTCTATTCCCCACTTTATATACGAGGCAAAGAGCCATTCCATAACTTCCACAAGGCCTTGGAGCCAGGAAGTGGCAGAGACAGGATTCGAACCCCTATCCGATAGCCTGACTCTAACACTGGCACCGGGCTCCTTCCCAGGAAACCTACTGGGAAAGAAACCTATGGAAGAGAGATGTACTGAGAGTGCAAGAGCCGCACCAGCACACAGAGCAGGAGGAGAAGAGGGGGGTGGTAGGACTCCACAGCTGCATAGGTCAGGCTGCCACAGGCATGAGCAAGGAAATGGACATGCTGGGACTGGTTGGGGCAGGGTGGGAGGAAGGCTTTCTGTGCAGGCCCCTTCTACTCAGGAAGAATGTTCTCTCTTGAGGCACCAAGCATGAAAAAAGAGAAAGCATCCGTTGGCAGTGTCCTTCCTGCTGGGGCCACCGGCCTTGTTGGGACCCAACTGCCCCCCTGTGCCCCGAGAAACAGAGCGTCTATCCTTGGATAGACCAGGTGAGTTCAGAGCCAATTCCCTAACATCGTTCTCCAAAAACTACCAGACGTGATCAAATCGCATCCCTTCTCTCCAGTTAATATAATAAATAGTAATGGCTAAGCAAGATCAGAGGAAATAACATTCTCACAGGAGAAATGAAAATAGGGTGAAAAATAGAAGAATGTTTTCCATCTAATTCCACCACAGAGGGCCTTTGTTAATGCTACCAAAGCCAACTCAAATTTCAGAAAACCTAAATCAGTAAAAAGGATTGACTTTCAAAAGAAAAACAAGATCACTCAGTGAAGGGGGGAAACATGATCATTCTCCTTCCCATTTATAGCAGTGTCCTTTTTTCCCCAGACTGATAAATTTAATACAAGAATAACAGCATCTCTAGACACCTGAGGAAGTTTTATTGCAGCAAATATCGATATTTAAAACACAAAGAATTCATTTTGTTCCGGAACTTCAATGACTTTCTAAAATTCATCCCTTGGATTTTATTTCTCAAAATTAAGACTCAGTCTCCAAAAGAAGTCAGTCAGCTTTCCCAGAAAGAGTTCCTCCTTTGTGAACACCTCATCCCCGCAAAGTATCTGCGAGGAGCATCTCCCCACACAGCCAGCCTCACGGCACCAGGATCAAAGCCCATGTTACTAGAATAGACTCACTTCTGCGTTCTGGTGCAGATCAACATTCTCACTGAGAAGACAGCTGACAAGGGATGTATGGCCATTCTGCGTTGCCATCTGCAAAGCACTGATGTTGAGCTGCAAGACACAGGTGGAAAGGGCAGGGAGGACCTCCATTACAACCCAGCATTCTTTCTGGTATTCATCACGTGGTAATTAATTAATACAGTGAAACAGTACAACTATTTAAGAAAGAAAATCCAATGTGTTTTTTATTATTTTGAGGGCCTCGTTTTTACTTCCCCTAAGTGTTTCCCATAGGAGTAAGAGTCCTAGGTAACACATGCCTCAGGCAAATATGAGCTAAATCCCTGTTTCCCTTCTCTAAGAAGTACAAAGTGGACAAGGGCTAAGTCTTCTCTCCATACACCCTGAAAAACCCCCTTGAACCAAAACGGCTGACTTGGTATTGGTCCCAGGAAATGCCTCAACACCCTCCTGCCCCCTGGCTGGCTTACCTGCAGCTCTCCCTTCTGCCGGGTCTGGTTTCAAAGCTTAGCATGACTGCTATCTTTGTGCAGTGTTCCCTGATGGCCCCTTACCCAGCTTCACTGCCTCTCCTTCCCTGTTCTCTGTGCTCAAGTGGCTTCACCTCGTGTCCATGCTAGATGGCAAAATTGCTCTTGATTATCCTGCCAACCTCCAAAAGGTTTAGCATGGTGCCGTGCAGTAATATAAGGTCAATGGATATTTACTGACTGATTAATTGTAAGATTGCTACGAAGTGTTTCTAGGTCCACCAAACAAGGTCCTACAGGATGTAACATTTTCCCAAAAATGGCTGCATAAGTAACTGCCAAATCACGTGCCCGTCTGCAATGTGAGCCTTCCACTCCCCCAACACGAGGTCTACCCTTGCATCTGGGAGGACCCTGTGAGTGCTCGGACCAATCAACAGAGTAGGGCAGAAGGGACAGTGTGTCAGTGGCAGGTGTAGCCGCTAACCGGCCGCGGAGCTTCTGCTTTCTGCCTATTAAAAACCAGCTGCGGGGCGCCTGGGTGGCTCAGATGGTTAAGCGTCTGCCTTCGGCTCAGGTCATGATCCCAGGGTCCTGGGATCGAGCCCCGCATCGGGCTCCCTG